AATGGTGGCCTTTTCAGTTTCTTTTTTTCCTTCAAAAAAAAAAAAAAAAAAACAAAAAAAAAAAACACACTGCCGAGAAGGAAAAGGCCTGGTATCCAAGCCACTTCTTTTATGACTAAAACTGCTGTGAATACTTAACTTGAACATAGCAATGTAGCTTAATCTGGTGTATGTGTGAATTGACTACCAAACAAACCAACAATAAATACAACCAAATACTGAGGTTGGAATACCAGCTGACACATACACTGGACAACGTGAGAGGCCAGCAGGGCTCCAGTATTTTCTGTGCAGATCAACCTGCCCTCCATCAGATCTCTTTTTATCTGCAGCGAGAATAAGTACCTATTAAAAAACAAACACACAAAGGCACAGACGTTTAGTGGCCATCTGTTCAGCTTCATGAGAAATAAATAAGCACAAACTGCACTTACCACAGATTAATGTAAGTATCTTTAAGAAAAGTAAATGCCATGTAAAAGCACTTCGAAAATAACTGAGAATCACAAATTACTGTTTATTTCTACAACTATACACAAGGCATTTTGTCAAGAAGTATAATATGATGCTGTAAAAACATAACTGTGTGCCTCAACAGGGGCATGAGGTAAATGTAATATCTGGTATGAAATGACAGTCACTGACCTTGTGTACTCCTCATGCAGCTGACCGGGGTCTGGAGGAAAGAACTTCACCGACAGTCTAAAGAACGTATTTGCTGGTCCTGAAAAACATAAAAACACATCAGCAGCACACACAAATATGTTCATTAGGTGGAATCTATCAGTATTTGAGCCAACTTACTCCTGACTTGTTTCACAATGGGTTTTGTGGGTTCGAGCCAAACCTAAAGAGAAAGAAGTATTATCATCATCATCATGATGAGAACGCATCACAAAATTCCACAGGTGGTGACAATTCTAGCTTAAATGTGTCTGGATATACTGAAGTGACGTGGCAATGTTCTGACACAGTGTTGTGGGATAAGACTAGGGTGGAATCCTCCCTCTAGGAGCCGGCTTTTGGTCGGATTGAGGGAGGAATGTGCTAGATCCAGGCAGATACTTCGAGAAACTGGTGTCAGCTGATATTTGCATAAATTCTTCTCACAGTGTCGCTTCACGTATGCATGTTTAGGGCAGCAAAATAAAATTCAGCTACTTGTCCTTCTGGCAAGTCAGCAACTACAGATGAAGATGAGCTGAATACCTGATTAGTCAACCAACAGTTCTGAGCTATTACACAAAAACATGACTGTTCAAGGTTCTCAGATGTGATGGTTGCTGCTTTGTCTCCTTTTACTATATAGAACACTGAATATATTTGGGGTCAAACTGGGCAAAGCACTTCAAATGTCTTCTGTCCAACCAACACTTTAAACCCAAAGTCATTAATTTGCCATCACGTAAAAAAAATGCTAATCCTCCTGTCTGAGAAGCTTAAACAAACAAATGTTGGGCATTTTTGCTTGAAAATGGACTCACACAATTAACGGACAATAAAAAAAAGTTGCAATCAGGGTTCCAGACTCACTTTTTCCACTGGTAGCACTGGTCCTCCTTGCTGAACGTTTTAGGGGCACCAACACAAAATTCAGGCACACCACCTAAGTGTTGCTTGTTTTTTTTTTTTTATCTCAACTGTATTACTGATAAATGCTTTGGCAACAAATCAACACTTTACAGAAATTACAATGTGCGGTTTTAATTTAAAAAGTCAAAGTGAAGTGCTTCTTGTTGGTGATACGAGTTTGTTGTATATAAAAGATAAAGCATGTATTTGAGCTGCCTGAGTCCATATGACCAGCGGGTGATCATGACGTTTATCGCCTCACTCGAATTTAAGGGTTTTAAGGCGGATCCGAGTCTAAAATACATGAACAGTGTGCGTTTATCGATACCAAACCACGGCAGACAGTCTTCAAAGGTTAGTAAAGCATCCTTCCCGTTGAGGTCACCCAGGACCCTACTTCCTTTCTCTGCCCAGTCATCTTTGATAAAGGGTTTGCCGCCTGAGATGAAATTGAAATTTCCCCAAACTGGCGAGGACCTGTGTAACATGGCATTATATCCTACGTTCTTCAATTCCCTTGCAGACTTGCAATGAGTATGTCATTATAGGCCTGTATTTCAGGGAGCTTTTCCTATAAGAAATATCAAAAAATAAAAGCGCTTTCAATTTCATATACATCACCAGGTCTTCCTACTTCTAAATGTCGCTGGCAGAGGCGCCACTATTCCATCACTGTGTACCTGTCCCTGCACAGTCGCACTGATGCGCCTCGTTATAACATTTTGTCATAGTGTTAAAAATATTTGCAAAATGCAGATAGATGGTCGCAGTCTGGAGCCCTGTTTAATGTGTTGCCTGCTCTCGTTTCTCTTCTCAAGTTATAGCCAAGCAAACAGTAAAAGTTATTTATTTCAGACATTCACATAGTCCTCTAAAATACACTGACATCAAGTCCAAACACTGCCAGGACAAGCAAGAGTCTCCTACATGTCACAGTTTGTATCTTTTACCCTGCAGGTCACTTACAGTTCATGGTTTAAACTGTACTTAAGCGGTTTTCATATGACCAACAAAGCACTTTTTTTGGAGGAAGAGCTTTGTTTAAAAGCCAAACAGCAGAAGAGCAATGGCACTACACACGGGGCATGGTTTTCAGTGCTCAAGCAAAAGGCCAGTGGGTCCTATAAAGTAAAAACTAACATGGCTCTATTGTCTTTGAGCATGGTGAGTTTCACATCTCCACTCTCTTGCTTTACAAAAAGCTTCTAGGTGGTCTTGAAATCCACTTATGCTTCTAGAAGAATAAAACAATGGAAAGTCTGACATTCCTATGTGGGCACTTGTGCCACACAAGTTAAAAATATTCCTGGGTTATATAGTGCTCAAGTCCAGTTAACAAAAACACACACACACCTCACTGTTTGCACTGCTGTAGAGCTAAATAAGAGCAACCGAGCTGCTGAAAAATGAAGCGGCTGATCAAGTGTTATCAAGTTCTGACATTTGACCTTTCAAATGCTGATGTCCTTTGCTCGTCTGTACTTAAATGTCACGTATGATCAACTAGTGACCCTGATATTCAATGTGTCTGCCAAACAGGAAACAAGACAGTTGTTGGTGTACATACCCAGTTCATTTGCATGTTCTGAAACTCCAGGCCAAAGTAATCACTCTCTATGAGGTTCCCTCTGTGGAAAACATCGGAGAGCAGCGCCTGTCCAAGAGCCTTTGGCTGAAAGAGAGAATGGAGAAACAGGAATCCTCATTTTCATCACTGCGTTAGTACAAAGATCTTACTCCGACAATATTATGATCAGTGGTAGAAGTAATTGCATTGCTTTGACTTAAAAATAAAACTTTAGGAAGAGCAATACAACTTATACACCAGCATAAATGATCCCCAGAGAGGATTAGGAAAAAACTAGCTTTCACTCCGGCCGAGACGAGAAGCCCCTTGCTTGTGCATAAAGTTAGCATTAAATAAATGCTGTCTGTCTCTGTGGTACTGAAAATATTTGGCATCTGTAAACGATGCACTTCACTGTGTGTTTTATGGCCACATATGTTCCATTTGTCGATTCAAATAGTTTCTTTTACTTGGATGTAAACTGCAAAACAACGTGACCACAGTGCAGCAGACACAAGAAGGAAATCTGCCGCAGTTGTACCTTCTCAGGATTGTGTTCACTAAATGAAGAACTAATTACTATGTACTAACAACACACTGCTCTTGAGGTTTGGAATCCTAGCTTGTGACTTTTTGGGAAAATTATAGCCTGAAACATCTGGTTGTAATATAAAATAGTATTTTTAAAAGCCTTACAAAAATAACTTTTTTGCACTGGCATTACAACTCAGTGGAAAGGACATTTAGTGTAGTTACTCTCTTCATTATTTTGATACAATCACATTCTACAAAACCACAAACAAAACAAAACAAAAAACAAACAAACTTTACATTGCCGGTGAAACCTTCTGACCCCACATGTGTAAATTCAGAAATCTGTTCTAAAAACTTATTTTCTGGACATTTAAAGTGTCAGATTGCAGCTGATCTCAAGCAGAGAAGAACTACTTGTGTGTTAAAATACTTTGCCTGGGTTGTCATAGTGTGCAAGCCAGACTATCCAGACAGCACCGGTAAGCATTCAAAATGCATCAGCAGCCAAATGTAAAGACCATTCGGAGGTTTTCTGCCTCACTGACTCGATCAGCACGAATGCCAATGAAATCATATACTGACTAAAATACCAACATCTGAAGCGCTTTGTAAACAGTTAGTGGATAACGACAGCGGCTCTATAAAACTCCCATTTCTTCTAGATTTCCTCCACAAGGTTTTCAAAGCACAATTCTTTCAGCTGTGAAACAATGTAGCTGGTGTATGATTGCAAATTTAAAGCCATGTTAAACAGGTATGAGTCTCATCACCTCTACTCTATCCCAACTTTTTTTTTTTTTATAAACCAAAACTTGATGGCATATTACTATAAACTGTAAAATAAAGACATTTTCTCCTCAGTGTAGTCATGAACAAACTGCAGTGCTCTGTTTTGACTCCAGTGCTTTCAGAAGCTCCTCCTCTGTTATTCATTAACCCTCTACAGGAATATCAATCTGCATTCACGGCACTCTGGTCTCAAGGGAGAATAAAATCCTCTTCTGACACCTTCAGCTTTATCTTCCACAGTCGGAGAAGAGAGATAACACTTTCACCGAGATCCAACTGCTCCCAGAAAGCTAGTCAAGAGGACAAGGTTCACTGCTGCGCAACACCCTCGTTTCCTCCTCTGTGAATGAAAAATGGTCCTATACTGGTATCGCGCTTTTCTATGCAATGAAACACACTCAAAGTGCCTTTACACTATTTTTCACTTATGCAATCGTGAACAAGTATTGATACACTCGCACACCGATAACGAAGCCATCAGGAGCAACTTATTTCAGCGTCTTTCCCCAAAACACGCCAACATGTGCACCACCAACCCTCCAGTTAGGACACGACCTGCTCCACCTCCTGAGCCACAGCTGCCCTCATCACAAACTGCATCCGCAATCATTTCTACATGGAACTTCATCACAACACAGACCAGTGCAGATCACTTCTATTTAAATAACTTCTTACTGCTGACCAAGGCGGGCAACCCTTTACTGCCTGCACTGTGGGTACACCGTTTATGTACCACCACCCTACTAGCGTTTTAAGAACAGTAATAAATAAGAGAGAATAAAGCTATGTGACAAAGGCAGTGAGCAAACCTGAATACAGGACAACAGAATGATGGTGTGCATGGAAACATGATATAAATGTAAAATGTTTGATTTGTGGGGTTGTTGAGCTCCTAGAAAGCACATCCACAGGGACCAACAGATGGTTCGACATAATGGCAGTGCCGTACAACTAAAGATCTGGTATGTTTAATAATGGTATTTTTTTTCTGCTGATATTAAAGGTTACTAGTAATGATAAAAATCCAAGTAGTCAGCTGACAAATTTAACCAATAACACTGAAAACTGATTGTTTTGTGATATTTATCCAACAAAAATACCTTTCCTAGCTCCAGTTGATGATTTCTGCTTTTCTTTGTTTTATATTATTCCAAATTGAAATATTTGGCTCCAGGAAATTGTGACGAGCATTTACATTATATAAATAAAACACTCAGATCCACCAATGATAAAACTGTAGCAGCCCTACAAATTATAATTTGGGGAAACTGAATTCCAGTACAGCACAATGTGAATAATCACTTCACAATTTGCATTACTAATGGTTGGTTCTCAGTTTTGGAGATGTAAATATTTTGTGAAAGCAGTCATCTAAAAAAAAAAAAATGAAAGTGAAATTATTACTCAAAATTCCTCAGTCTTCTTCAAACATGATCTAAATCCATTCTACCATGCAAACATGTGTGTCACATCTGTGGTGTGACAGTAAGATCGCATTCAGTTTGTTCACACCCAGCTTGTGGCTCCAACATTACAGTGGGTCACCTAATCGAGCACCGCAGGCAGCAGGGATTATGACAAGCAGATGTTTCTCTGGAAGACAAATCTTCCTCTGTGTGTATGGGTCTTTCTATGGTCGTGTAAGGATATTTTAGGGTTAAGTGTTAGAATCAGAGAACGGGTTGTGGTTAGGCATTTTGTATTGATGGTTAAAGTTAGTGTGTTTACACAGCGGCCAGTGATAGCTGCCATTCTAAGGAAAATGCATGGTGTGTCGTTATGATGCTTTAACTGTGGCTCAAATGTGACCGTGAATTCTCATGCTAATGAGGTAAACAAAAACATTCTTCTTCCTGTGGGCGTCCACATCCCGATCTTTCCCCAGTCAACACAGCAACTTTGCCAGATGATGTCACCGTCCGGTGTGGTGACAGTTAAACCAGATCCAACTTGTTCACCTCATGGAGTTGTAACATTTTGCCAGAGCCCCCTGCAATGCTGGTGCCAGCTGCAGGAAAATCAATCCCACATAGAGATTAATGGCGAGGGCTGCATTTTTTCCACACCTTTGAAACTCAGTCTGAATGAGGCCTTAGGGTAAGGGAATCAGAATGAGCTTTAGCTTTATTGGCCAGGTGTGTTGGACACATGAGGAATTTGACTCTGGTACAGTGGCTCTCAATGTGCATGTACAGTGTTCTTTCGTAAGTCAATGAGTAGACAAGTAAACAAGATAAGGCTGAGCGAATGAGAAAAGAAAAAGAATGAGCAAACAAGACAAAGGAATGTGCATTAGGAAAATAAAAATAAAGTACTTATAAATACACACACAGAGATGTTTTTCAGATAGATGGTGAGGGGGATGGGGGGCTCTTCCTACAGTCACTGTCATTTGGAACATGTGCAGCTCCAGGTTGTTTCAATCGCACCTCAGGACCAGCTGTTCAAATTCCCCATTTGTAGGCCAACTCATCACTGTCTTGGGTGAACCAATGGCCGTTGTGACATCTGCAAACTTCAGGAGTTTAACAGAGTGGTCCTCTGAGGTGCAGAGGGAGAACAGCGGGGAGAGCACACATCCCTGGGGGGCACCTGTGCTAATAGTACGGGTGCTGAATGTGGTTTTCCTCAGCCTCACCTGCTGCTTCCTGTCTGTCAGAAAGCTAGTGATCCACTGACAGGTGGGGGCAGGCACAATGAGCTGGGTCAGTTTAGAGTGGAGGATGTCTGGGATGATGGTATTGAACACAGAGTTGAAGTCCACAGAGAGGACCCGTAGGAGTTGAGGTGTCGCAGGATGTAATGCAGTGCCATGTTGACTGCATCATCCACTGACCCGTTTATCTGGTAGGCAAACTGCAAGGGGTCCAGCAGGGGGTCTCTGATGTCCTTTAGATGGGCCAGCAACACTCTCTCAAAGGACTTCATAACTACAGATGTCAGGGCGACAGGTCTGTAGTCATTCAGGGGGCTAGGGAACGCATTATGTGAATGAATGTCCTCACAAACAGTGAAAGACAAATGAGTGTGCATGTAGAGAATAAAGAGGAAAACAGACAAAAACAAAGGTGTAACCCAAATATTACCATAGCCTGACTCATACCCAGGGCTTCGGTGTTACTTGCATGACAGGTTAAGCATGGTTTACCAAACAGTAGTTTATCTCCCTCCCCCCGCCCTAACGTCCTACTAACAGCAGGGGTATGCTGGGACTTGTATCTGCCCCAGTGGGATGTATACTGCTTAGGCTTTGCCACCAGGAGATTCCCTGCTGACATACATTTGAAAGCTCTGCACACTAGTGGCCACATTCACACGTCTGCAAGGAGACATTTCAAAGTTCAGTGTGTTCTGTGATGCCTTTCTTAACTTTATGGCAACTTTCACTTGTCTATGATCAACCACTACCTGGCTTCAGCACACACCTGTGAACAGTTGGCCAGGTCACTTGTTAGCAGATAAACACTACATAGTGGTAATCAGGTGTTTCGGTGTGCCTTTTGCTCAAGTCACCTGTGTAACCCAGTTACTTTCAATGCTCAGCTCACATAAAAAAAAAGAAACAGACGGGACCTCTGAATGGCAGCTAATTACTGCCAGTGGCAAAAGATAACGAGTATTCAAAACAGAGATCCATAGTGTGCAGAACGACTTTAAAATGTTAAATCACACACGGCTATTAGAGTTAGTTGCTTCATCAGCTGTAGAGCAGAGGTACTCCTGAGCATGCATGTGAACACACATGCCTAACTATGCTCCATGCATTATTACAGATAGTCATACATTTGTTTATACTGTGCCAAACTATATTAATCCAATGCTACTTCATCTCAAAATCTTGCAAGATGCAGAGGATAACATTTCAAAGACTGAAACACTGCATCATGATTTTCACACCTCCATCTTCGTAACAAAAAGGTAAAAGACAACAGCAGTGGAGAGATGTGATCACTGATTACATGCTTTTGTCAACAGATTATGACAAAAATCAAAATGTGATTCCTGCTACTAGCCAGCGGTTGAAATTCCTAGGCTGAGCTTCCAGCAGGGTTTCACCAGCGAGTGCATCCCCTCCCCCACCACCTCAGCTCAAACTTTGTACTGGCCGTGACTGCTCTCTCTAACTACTCTTAACACCAGAGGCTGCCCCTGTCTCCCTCAACCCACTTGGCTGTCAGCCTGGCTATTTATGTGTTTGCCAACATTAAAGCAGAACCTGCCCGGATTCCCTCCCACCGATGCCCCAGCCGTACTGCATTTTCACACAGTTCCAGTTCCACGTCCCACCCTCAGTCTTTTTGCGAGTTTCAAGCTGGAAGTTAAGGCCAGCGAAGGGGCTGGCTGAGCTGGATAAAAGGAGCCTGTGTCTCCCTGTCCAGAAACCACAAGGCTGAGCTTTCTCCTGTGCTGACTGTGGGAGGGGCCTGTGGACAAGAGCCATGCAAACAAATGTTCGCTGATGACGACCATGTTGGGTACCTGCAGCAGATGAAGGCCAACAGATCAAAGCACACGCACCCTGATCTGATTTGTGTGTTATAACTCCAGGCTAAAGACACATGTGTACAGGTCACCATTTTCACAAGAGCTACGATCTATAATGTTTTACAAATTTCAAAAGTGGGAGAAAATACAGGCACAAGACAGAGCAGAATCCCTTCACTACATAACGTACAGCGAGAGCGGCAGGAAACACCAGGTGACATTTGGGCAGCTGAACAACCATAATGCCACAACAAGGAGAGGCACTTACTAGAAGGGCCAAACCATTTCAAACATTCAACACTGCAATTTTGTTTCTATTTTGTCTTACTGTATGCATGAGGGAAAACTGCTGTTCCATTATAGGAAAGGTCATGCCACTTCATTCACTTTATTTAAAGAGAAACATGATCAAATATACATAGAACTAGGACTGATATATCACACTGGCAGCTCCTCTGAAGTGGAAACTAAACACAAGTTGTCTAACAGATGTAAAGCTGTGCAGGCATCCTGTACACACACATACAAAACTATTCTCCCACCAACCCACGATTCCTCAGACTGAATGAACAGAAATATTAAGAAGTGCTGGGCAGTGGCAAACAGAGGCCATCTTGTTCTCGGCAGATGGCAGCCTGCTGCTGGACACCATAATTGCCACCATTCCCCTTTGTGCAGCCGTGTGTTTCTGTCTGCCACTTCCCATCAACACCGACTCCAGAACTTCCTCTGAACTTTGCAGGCTAACTTCAGTTGGCTTTCAATACGTACAGCTGAGTAAAACTGACAAAAACATCCTGAAAGCACAGACCTGCTTCTAGACAAATTAAACTTGTGTCTGACTCATTCTATTAGACTTTGAAAAATATGGTGCACAAGATTATGATACGTCATTTTTAGCAGTGCCCCCACACTCCATCTGCCAGTTGTGTCTACACAAGGATTTAGAACAGAGTAGTTACATACGTTAAATACACTAAACTAATCCAACTGAATTAGTAACTGCCAGGTCAAATGATATTATACTAAAAAATAAAAACTACCTGATTAATTGGTCATTGACATGAATGTTTATTACTTAAAAAGCCTCCACACTGAGATATCTTTAATATTCCTCCCCCACAGAGAAAGACAGGAACTTGCTCTGATATAGTGGCTTCCTTATTGCTTCCTATTCGCCTCCTGAATGACTCTGGCAGCAGGTAAACATGGGAACACACTGCAACAGAGTGCATATAAACATCTGCTCAAACCAACTGCCAACCTTTAAATGGGATTAATGTCTCTGTAAGTTAATTACAATGAAAAGAAAAAACAAGGGCCATCATTCTTTGTTATAGAGTGACTCACGTTAAACTGTGACTTGTCATTTGAAAGTTTCAGAGCTACTGAATCAGCACTGTATGCTACTCAATTATTTGAAATTTGATATTAAAAAATGTTTTCCATTCCGTAGGCCTGCTGTAATTTGCCCATGTTTGCATTACCTGTATAAGATAATGCACTGAGGAGTATGCAGCAATGCATGGAGACAAACTTGAAAACTTGTCCAACCGATCAGATGGTAAATTTAAAACAGCAAAGCACTGAGTCCTGGCTGGTTGTGCACTGATCCAGCCTTAGAGACAAGGCACAAAACTTCTACTATTACAGCAGAGAAATTACAAAGCACCCTGGCGCCTTACACGTAAACTGCCTGAATAAGAAGCCTTAATGAAGAAGGGATTTCAGCACCAAAGCCATGCAGCATCTGTCACCAACCCAAGCCACACGCAAGCCAGGTAGCCCAGGCCTGCAAGTTAAAATATATCCTGCTGTGTACTAAACTGCAGGGCTATCACTGTGTAAATACAAGACGATGAAGGAAACAAAGAGGTTGTGCAATAGCTGAGGAGAAACTCACGTCTGTGTAAAAGAACTCCTGGGAGTCGTCCAGCCCCTGCACACGGATTTGTAGTCCTCGCCCATTGCTGCTGCCACCGCTAACCGTGTTGGCACTGAGGGTCTGGCCCGACTCCAAAGTGCTGATACCAGCACTGAACTGGGCCCCCAGCCTTGTGCCAGGGGTCTGCAGGGCCCGGTACGAACCCTCTATCTCTCCCATTACAGCTCAGAGCAGCTCCCCCACCTCACTCCTGCAAACACAGAAATCATTGTTAAACTTGAGGAAAATGCAGAATATGACAACACGTGCGGTTAAAAGAAGATGGGCTATTATTCGGTCTGGGTCGAATAAAGTTACAAACGTGTTGGCTCAGTCCAGGGGACGACTGGTTTAACCAGTGTTTGCATTTGCTCTGAGGCTGTTTGTCGGACATGTGAGGTTCATTCATAACACGTGTAACACACGAAAACGTTGACATATCTGAGACCAATGGCCAATATCCACCTAAACTATATGTAGGCTAACGTTAACCAGCAGCAAAGCTTTCAGCCTCACCGAGAAGGCGAGCTAAAATACAGAAGAGTACCGACGGGGACCGACATGCACTTATTAAGGAACCCTGAATGAGGGCCTAGCTGGGTCAGCCAGACTTCAACGTTAGTATCCAAGATTTAACACTGGGAAAAACAAAAGGAGCGGAATTCACCCTCAACACAAAAGTCCAATAAAAGGTGACCTAAACAGGCATTAGTTTGCCGACTAGAAGCCAGGCGAAGTATTACCTCTAACCGAGTTTTCTCTCAGACAAAGTCGTCAAACATATCTAAACACGATAGCATGCCCATAAAGAAGCATTAAACTTACCACTTGCCCGTATGGAAACTAAAAGCTAAAAGTTGGTAACACGGTGAAGGACACTACTCCAGTCCATGGTCGTCGTCTTCCACAGGAGTGCGGATTGAGGGCTGCCATTGGCTCAAACGTGGCTGAGCAGCGACGCTTTGCCTTTGCTTTAAATAGCTTTCAACGTGTACGATCATACTCCCCACTGCGACCTTCTCATGAGGCCTCGTAGGATGTCTAAGACGTTTAAAAGTTTCTGGAGGCTATGCGTGTTTGACCCCTGGATGATATGAAATAAATGTGGATTTTTATATAACCCTCCAATTAAATGCAAGGTTTCATGAACATTCGGACCAGTGTGTGCGTGCGTCAGGAAACTTGGCTCCATACAGAGTTTAATCACATCAGTCATGATGTTTTGTGCCATTTAGTGTCATTTTAATCATAGTCTCACTGAACACTAACACGGGGAAAAGGCAAGAGCCGCTCCTGGCATTGAGATGGAGCGCCCCCTGCTGCCCACTGTAAAATAAAGAACAAAGTTGCATTATACTTCAGAAATGCTTAGACTAGTCCCATATGGAAAATAAGACAAACATGTATTTTGTTCAGATATCTGCCTTTCATATATATTAAATGGATACGTGCTACCATGTAGCAGAAGTATGTTTTCTTGCTTATATATATTCATTTGAATATTCTGAAAAATACACCCACATATTCAGCATATGAAAATAGGTATCTGTCATATGGACCTTTTTAATGTGACTTAACAAATAACCTACCCAGAAAAATCAAGTTTTCTAATGTTTTCTATGTGTATGTATTAAAATCTGCTGTCATTCTAATTAAAATTGTTTAAACATTTTATACATATACATATGCACAACATTGCATCCTAAAGGTGTGCTTTGTTCCTTTAGAAAAAAATCTAATAAAATAAAATAATTCGTTTTAAAAATGTACACAAAAACTGAAAATTGACTTTGCTGGCCATTATTCTTGTGAGCTTCTTGTTTAAACTTCATATTGTACACACCTGTTAAGTGACATATGACAGACAGACCTACATATTCTAACATGAACATTTATGTGTGGAAAAAATGTGTGTGTGCGTGTGTAAAGTTGTAAAAATGGCAACAGTATTTGCATCTTTATATCTAAAAGTATAAATTCAGTTACTAATATGTACCTGTCCATAGTTTTGTTCTGTTGTACAGCACCCTGGGCTCCTATGGGTTGTTGAGTGCTATAAAAATAAAGTTTATTATTATTATTAATATGTAAATATGATACAAATATCCTGCAACCAATGCAACACAGTAGAAAGCATTAAAAGGTATCTAATTAATTGTTTTTGACCTGCTAATTAATTGTCAGGGCCAAGAAGCTCTCCCAGCATGCAATGGGAATCACTGTCACTGGTCAGTCACAGTACAGCCCTTCTTCATTTTTGCCAGCCCACCCAACTTGTCTTCTTTCCTTCACAGAGGATCATATGATGCACTTATCAAACGTCACGGCTAGTGACTTTTTCCCCTTCTCCTGATGTCATAGTTAAATTTTTTTCAGTATAGTCATTATCAAAAACTCTTTCTTTCCCTCTGCCATCAGACTCCTAAACAGCTGAGGAGTTTGTTACCAGGAAATACGTCATGTACTGTCGACCTGTGCTGTTTACATTCTCAGTTTCTTCTTCTTCTTCTTCTTCTTCTAAACCGCTCAGTCCCAAACGGGGTCGCGGGGGGAGGCCGGAACCAATCCCAGCCAGCAATCGGGCGAAGCTGGGGTACACCCTGGACAGGTCGCCAGTCCCATTCTCAGTTTGCACATGCATAATTGCACATTGACTGTTGACTGCTGCACATGCTGCTCCCATGCAGCATACATTCTCTTATTATATCCTAATATATTTTTTATTATATTGCTCCATTTGCTGCTTAAAGTGCCTTAGATTTTGTGTTACTTATTTATCTACTTTATATTTCATTTGTATTTTGTGGCATTCATGTGGACGGCAAAGTAAGAATTTCATTGTACAGGGAAACACGTTTCCTAACTGTGCATATGACAAATAAACACTTTGACCCTGACCTTTGATCAGAACATGCTTTTGCTTCTTTTGAATGTTTTCTGCTTTTCATTTAGCTAATTAGAGAGAAGACAAGTGAAGCAGCTTCAAATATTTGAGGTGCTTCACAGAAGGCTACAGGCAGCTTTGAAGAAGCAGAAAGCTTTGAGTAACTCTGCCAGATTCAGTACAGCATGCTTCACTGGCCATTGTCATAGAGTACTTCAGATTGTAAGCATATAAGATAGTAAAACCAGCTGCAACATTAAATGTGGTGAACACAATAATGCATCAATATAGAGAAATATGAAATAGGTGACATGCACCACCCGTGACCCCGCTTGGGACTAAGCGGTTTAGAAAATGGATGGATGGTGACATGCGCCATTCTGCATAATAAGTACTTTTACTTTTGATACGTTTAAGTATATTTTGATGCTAATATGTTTGTAGCTTTACCTCAGTGAACTTCTGAATGCAGGAGTTTTACTTGTAAAAGAGTATTTTTACACTGTGGTATTGCTACATTTACACTAGTAAGGAATCTGAGGAGGCCTACTTTTCCACCACTAATGGATTGCAGCGGAGGAGGTCGGGCACTGACTCATTTTTTAAATCTAATCTCATAAGGACACTGAGGAATTATCCTATACTAAAATGTGTGATTAATAGGCCTTTGGTTACTACGGAATCCTTCCACCTCCATCAGCTCTTTTTGTGTATGAATACTCTGCTCCAGACTCCAGGATGCACTTCCTGCGCCAGCTCAGGAAGTTCGACCTGCCCCAGGAGCTGCTGATACAGTTCTACAGAGGAATCATCGAGTCTGTTCTCTGCACCTCCATCACTGTCTGGTTTGGCTCAGCAACCAAACAGGACAAGTACAGACGTCAGTGAACAGTCAGGACTGTAGAAAAGGTCACTGGTGTGAGCCTGCCCTCCATGGAGGACCTGTACACCGCACGGGTCAAAAGGAGGGCGGAGAGGATCACTGCTGACCCCTCACACCCCCCGGATACAATCTGTTTGAGCTCCTCCCCTCTGGACGGCCTTACAGGTCACTGTGCACCAAGACAACCAGGCACAGGGACAGTTTCTTCCCGCTGGCTGTCGCACTGATGAACACTTAACCCACGACAGTATAACTGGACAATAAGCCTCAGTGCAACACCCGTGTATATACATTGTACAGATTATACAGAGTCATAGAGGTCTCTAGTTTTAAGTACTCTATTTTTTTATCCCTAATTATCTCATTTCAAAGAACATTCCTTTGTTGTCTGCATTGTTACTGTCTGTTCATACTGCTTTTTCTGCATTGTTTGCACTTTCTGTTGCTTGTAAATACTGCTTAGTTTTGTTATATTACACAGCCTTATGCTGGTTTGCTGTTTGCACATTGAGAGCCGATGTATCTGAGTCAAATTCCTGTGTGTCCAACACACCTGGCCAATAAAGCTGATTCTGATCTGATTCTGATTCAGACATGATCTTAGCACATTCTTACTTTAGGCCAAATTCACAATGTTCAGAGAATCAGATTTACATTTCATCCAACAGGAATTTTTAACCGCAAAATAACCAAGAGTTCATAAGTTACAGAAAAGCCAGTTGGAAATGAAAACAATTTTTTTGTAACCGGACTCTGAGATGTGACGTTGGAGGATGTGATTGGTGGGCGGCCCTGGTATATATCCCTCAGCTTCTATTCCACCTCCTCGCCAGTGGAATTTCATTTCAGCTTCTGCACCTTCAGGGCAGACGAGAACATAAAACAAGTAGGTACTTTAGTTTCTTTTCACTGATCGTGCAGAATTCCTACACCATATGACTTATACCTTTAATATACGCGACAGAGTGGTACTTGTTGAGAAGACAGTTTGTTGGTGAACCCTTAACGTTACAGTAGGTCCTGGTCTGACTCCGTGTCATTTCTCTCCTTCTCAGCTGTATGCCTACGTGGACTTAGCGAGCTAGTAGAGCAAACTGATGTAAGCTAACATTAGCTCCCTAGCTAAGGCTACAGTTCAGCTTGTACCTTTTACGAGCCTGCTAATGTGATACAAAATAACATTACCACAGTCTATGAGTGTGGCAGATTTATGTTTAGGTTTTAGTTTCCAATACAGCATGAGCTTCATGTCCATAGCTGGCTAAGCTGCAGCTTGAAGTTCTGTGTAGGTCTATTTGAGTGAGCCAAGCTACCGATTAGCTGGGCGCTACGTGTCACAGTCGCTCACACCATGGTCAAAGTTTTTAGCAAGTTTGCTAACTAGCCAGGGGTTTGGAGCTGGTATTCCATGCTACAGAGATTTTGCTGCTTAACATCCCACTTCTGCTACAAGGTACATACATTTGTTCTTAGTACCGGACGTTATTTCAGTACCATGGACCTTTTAAACTAGTAGTTTGTCTCACTCTCAGTACGTTGGTTGACTAGCGTTAGCCAACGTGACGGCAGCTAGCATTAACAAATGTGTCGGTGGCAGCTGTCATCTGGTTAACTTAATAAAGTTACCATTCTAGCTAACTAGCTACTTAAATCCTCTATATGCGATTTGGGTCTAACCTTAAATAGGCTCGAAGGTTGTAATGGTGCAAGCAGGTTTTTACTAACATTAGACGAGACAGTCTGTGTTAACGTAGCAACTCATTAATGAATGATCTCTGAGATTAGATAATGTCACGCAAAAACTTAAGTTGCGTTTGGTGGACGTCACCGTGTGGTAGGGGTCGTCTGAGTTGGTGACTGGTGTAGTTAACTAGTCATTAGTCAGCAGTTTAAACTCACCACTCTTCCCATGACATGATAGTTAAAGCAAACCAAATTAGCCATGTAATGTACCCTTTATTAACTGACTATTGCTGCAGTGTAGAAAGGGCCAGCTGTCATTAGTTAGTTTCTTAAAGGAAACGGGGCATGTGTTGTCTGTGCTGACACTACTGTACCAAATACTAAATGTAGGAGCTAGCAAGTTGAATCTTATTTAATACTGAAGTTATAAATGTTGAATATGTACAAATGGTCAACTAATTATTTGGTATAGGTTGGGCTTT